ATAACAAGGTATTTGAAAATCCAATTTGACATCCTCGGTCGAGTTCACGCTATTTGTATTTATTGTGGTTCTTGATATATGTGGATTTCTTTGTGCTATTTTAACTTCTCCTTTTGCTTGGTTCCATTTTTTTTCAACATTTCATTTTCTCGTCTCTTATTTAAAAAAAAGTAACATCTCTGTCTTACACCTAATAAAAGGAACTCGAGTGCTTTCATATCTTTTGGTGTCCCCTCCATTAACCTTCTACGGCCATGCTGGTTCTTTCTCTAGATCTCCAGTTTTCATTCTGCATGATTATAAACACACTCACCATTTTTCTATTCTCTGGTCATTTTTTTAAAAAAATACACAGCTACACATTTTACTGAGGTAATCTGATCACGTTGGTATCTTATATTCATCGCGTGTGGTTTCTCAGTTTTCTTACTTTTATTTGCATTTTTTGTATTTGAGTTCTGTCTCCTAACGTGTTTGTAGCTTGGGATTTCCTGTATTGAGGCTTGTATCTGAAATATTTTTATGCCCCCACAGTTGAATTTCATTTGGTAGACTCTCAATCCCAGGATCAAGGTAGTTTTCTTTTGATACTCTGAACACTTGATTCACTGTTTCCTGTGCCCGGTATCCCTGTTAGAGGTCTCAGGTCTCACACATTGGCAGGTAATCCACTCATTCTCCTTGAAAACATTTGCATGTTTCTCCTTGGTTTTGACAGTCTTAAGATGAACTGTACTTTCTTTGGTTGTGGGCTTTTCCTTGTCTTTTTTCTTGTGTTTGCGAGGTACTTTGTGCTGGCGTGGTTCAGTTTTTCTGTGATTCTGACAATTTTATCTCCACTATTTTTGTCCAAATATCTCTTCCTCTTTGGGTTTCATTTTTATCTCATTTGGGGACTCCTGGGGCTTCCCTGGTGGTTCAGTGGTTAAGACTCCATGCTCCCAGTGTAGAGGCACAGGTTTGATCTCTGGTCGGGGAACTAAGGTCCCACATGTCGGTGGTGTGGCCCCCCCAAAAAGTATGTCATTTGGGGACTATTACAATCTGAATGTTGAGATTTTCTATTTCCTTCGTCATTCATAACTTTTATTTTCGTGTGTTCTGTTCTTCATCTGCTTCTTTCTGTGGGAGACTTCAAACGTTCTTCTAGCTCCCTGATGTACTTCAGTTGTATTCATTCTATTCTTCATCCCACCATTGGAGTCTTCCTATTTTTATATCTCAGACATCATATTTCCACGTTTTATGGAACTGCACACACATTTCCTTTTTATGTAACTTATATGATTACATAACTTCTTGTTCTACATTTTATGTACATAATTACTGATGTGTATAATTTTCTTTTCTTCCTCCCAGTCTTACTGAGATATATTGGACATATAGCATTGTATAAGTTTAAGGTGTACAGAATATGACTTGATTTACATACATCATGAAATGACTAGCCCAGTAAGTTTAGTGAACATCCATCATCTCATACAGATAAAAAATTAAATAAATAGAAAAAATATTTTCCTTGCAATGAGAACAGTTAGGATTTACTCTGAATAACTTTCATATATAACATACAGCAGGGTTAATTCTAATGATTACGTTCTACATTACCTCTCTAGTACTTATTTATCTTATAACTGGCAGTTTGTACCTTTTGACCACCTTCATTCAGTTTCCCCAGCCCCACCTTCTGCCTCTGGTAATCACATATCTGATCTCTTTTTCTCTGGGTTTGCTTGTTTCTTCATTTTTGAAGTATAAGTGATTGGATATTTCTGTTTCAAAATGCTCACCATGCTGTCTAGTTACAATATGTCACCATTTGGAAATATTACATCGTTACTGAGTGATGTACATAATTTCTTTTCCTGTTGCTTTTTTTAAATTTGGAGGATAATTGCTTTGTTGTGTTGGTTTCTGCCATTTAACAACGTAAATCAGCCACAAGTGTACATGTGTCCCCTCCCTCTTGAAGCTCCCTGCCACCCCGCCCCACCCCATCCCACCCCTCTATGTGGTCTCAGAGCACCAGGTTGAGCTCCCTGGGTTATACAACAACTTTCCATTTGCTATCTAGCTTACATATGATAATACATAGAGAGAACAGACTCGTGGACACTGCTGGCAAAGGAGAGGTTGGGAGGAATTGAGAGAGCAGCGTAATTTCTTATTCTCACGTTCACGATGTAACGTCAGCACTTACTCCTCTTAGTGCATTTATCATGCTTAGTTTAAAACTCTTGATCAGAGTGTTCTAATACTTGTTCTTTGAAGATCCATGACGTTCCCAGCCTCCTTTGCTTGGTTTTTCTTCCAGGGCATTTACACTTTGCAGGTGCTCAGCCCTCTGACCTGGGAGGGGCATCTTCCCCTGGAATGTTAGCTTTCTGGTCTGGACCATTGATTGGGTGAAGGTGAAGGGCAAATGCTGGCCTATGTAGGCTCAAGGGAGTGACGGGGACCAGTTGCAGAGTGGAGTGCCCCGAGCACCAAAACCACTCTCCATCAGTCCCACTTCCTGTCCCCCCCACCCCCGAAAAGGCAGTGTAAGTCACCCCTTTGCCTTCAACCTCAAGGAGAAGGAGCTTCGGGTTTTGATCCAAAACCTCTGTGGATTTTGATCCACCAGACTCTGGAGTTTGGCAAGAAGAAAGGGAGGACAAGAGTCCCAAAGGCCAGTGAGGCTCCGTGGCGGCTCTCCTTGTCTTCACCCCAGGGAGCCCTCGGTGCTCACCCAGCTCTCACTTCTGCTCACATGCACATCACCGTCTGGTCCACGCTCTCCGAATTCTGCCGACAATGATTGTCCCAAGGCGAGGGTGGAGGAGAGAAGGGAGCAGAATTCAAGCACATCTGAGGGAACCTGTTCTTCCTCTCTTCAACAAGCCAGCTTCCCTAGCCCTGGGCTATAGCATGTCACCTCCCAGGCCCCATGTGTTCAAATTAGCTTTTACTTCCCCCCAGGAACCTCAGGGTGATCAACTGATTAATGAATCCATTGACAGTTGATTTATAAAATTTTGTCATCCCGTAGTTTCATCTATAGTTTTTGATTGTTGGATCTTGGTGAGCAGAACCGTTGGTACGTGTGAATTCACTATCTCGACAGGAACCCTGATAGAGCTTTGTTTTCCCCATTATGTTGTTGTCGCTGCTCAGCTGCGAAGTCATGTCAGACTCTTTGCAGCCGCATTAACCGCAGCACGCCATGGCCGGTCCTCCACTGTCTCCCAGAGTCTGCTCAAATTCATGTCCATTGACTCAGTGGTGTTATCTAACTGTCTCATTCTCTCCCCCGACTTCTCCTTTTGGCTTCAATCTTTCACAGCATCAGGGTTTTCTTCCCGATAAGTCAGCTCTCTCAACCTTTCTGTAACTTTGATACTGTAGGCAGAATAGTAAAGCAATGAGCTGCATGGTCCCTGGAGTTCATCCTCCTGTGTCCAAGTTCTGGATTCAACCACCTCCAAGCTGTGTGACCTTGGACAAGTTAGTTAACCTCTCTGCTTCTGCATTTTCTCTTCTGGAAATGAGACCGTCGCTATGCTGGTACCTGTTTCATTGGGTTGTGACAAGAAGTGCTTAGAAATATGCCTAGGTCATGGGAAATTGCTTACCACTCTTACCTAATGTTACTATTCCCCTCTCTAATGAGGAACTGGGCATGCAGGCAGGTATTTGGGGCAGTTTCACTTCCCCATATGTCCTCATTTGAAAGAACACCACTTAGTGGCACCTAGCTCATAACCAGCACTCAGCAAAAGGGTGCTGGATGAAGGAATGAACATAGTGCTTTCTCTTGTTTATCCATCTGAGCTGCATCTCGTCTTATGTGTGCTCAGCCACCTAATCGTGTCTGATTCTTTGCAACCCCACGGACTGTAGCCCACCAGGCTCTTCTGCCCATGGGATTTCCCAGGCCAGAATACTGGAGCAGGTTGCCATTTCCTACTTCAGGGGATCTTCCTGACCAGGGGTGGAATCTGCGTCTCTTGCACTGGCAGGCGGATTCTTTACTTACTAGCATGAACTGGGAAGCCCGTGTTATCTTCTGAGGATCAATTCAATCCCCTTTTGATATATGGTAAGGCTATTAACAGACATATGTTCTTATTTCTCCCTCTTTGGCTACAGAAGGGTCAATACACCTAGCTGTTTTGTCATTTCATCTTGCTCATGCCTAATTTGGACAGTTCTGTCTAGATATGCTATTTTTTTCTGAGGTTGTGGAACCATTTTTTCCTAACCTGGAATTCTTTTTTGTTTTCTTTATAAGGTACTATTTGAAGGCTAATGTTTCTGTCAACGCACTTGTCTATAGCATGATGGTGTAGGTGTGTGTGGACAGACTTAGAGAAAAGAGAATGGCACACCAGTGTCTGGGTACCCTCTCTTTTGGGAGACTTGGGTCCTGCTTTATTTTCATTTTTGTTTTATGGAACCTAGGTCCAAGATCCAGAATTGCTGTCTCTTCTGGTTTCTGCACAAGCTAGTTCATAAGTCACACTGGAGTTAGAAATTAGCTGTGTTTACTTGTCTCTAATCCAGTCCTCCTTGCCAACTGCAAGCTGCCTGAGGTCGGGGTCTATGTCTGTTTTCTCACACTGCTCCTTTGGCCTCTCACCCAGGACTTGGTACAGGGTACACTGTCAAGAAAACAGCAGGCCTGGGTTTGAATCCTGGCTCTGCCATCCACTCTACGAGTGACCTTGGGCAAGTTACTTCACCTCTCCCCCACCCCAATTTTCCTACCTGTAAAATGGGAATAATAAGAATATCACTCCTACTGGGTTTCTGTGAAGGTTAAATAGGATTCATAAGCCCGCAATATGGCCCAGGGGTCAGTCTTGACAAAATTGTAAACGAATGAGTGAGTATTTGAGTTCCCAAGAAGCATGTGAGGAATAAGAAGATGAATGAATCAATGTCTATCTGCTGAACTTTCCTTAGGGAATCATGTCTGCTTACTCCTTCTCTGACTCCTTTTTCTCCCTTTTACTCAGGGTTCCAGGCAAAAACCTTGCTCAGACAGCCCCCCCGACCAGACAGTGCTGTCCCCTGCAGAGGACGCCCCACCCCCAGGGGAACAGGAAGAGCTCCATTATGCCTCCCTCAGCTTTCATGAGATGACATCTAGGGAGCCTCAGGACCAGGAGGCCACCAGCACCGAGTACTCCGAGATCAAAACGAGCTAATGAGGACGCATCCAGACCTCGGTCCCAGCTGGGGGAGCCATAGCCCCCGTGGGGACAAGGAGAGGTCAGGGACTAGCTGATGAAGCCTTGGTGGCAATATCTAACTACTGTATGAGTGTCCCCAGGTAGAGCAGGAAGAAGACAGGTGACGGGATTAGAGACACTTAGGCTCACAGGCAGGCTCCAGCACTTCCTGAGGCATCGTCATCAAGCGACTCGGTCCACCTCTCTGTCTCGGGTTTTCTGTTCTGTAAGTCAGAGATCATGTGTCTTACCTCCCAGTTGGTGAACATTAAAGAAAGATCATATCAAAAGAATAAAGGGGAAAAACCTCAAAGGAAAAAAAGGAAGAACCTATTAAAAGCAACGAACAGAGGTCCCATCACATGGCGTGTGTGTAGTGTCTGCTGCTTCCTCTTCCTGAACAGAAAGGTTCTCCATCAAGTTCTTCTGAGGGTGACTAGTGTTGATGCGAAACAAGTAGACAGCCAGCTATTTCTCAGCAAAGGTGGGTTTAATTTGACATTAGCCCAGAATTGCAGCTTGGGGTCTGCAACAATGCAGAGCCATGAGCAAGTTCCAATTCAAGGAGGGAAGGAGACCGCTTTTATAAAGGGGCAGAGGAAGTGGAGGGCTAGAGGAAACAGTGAGTCCATGGCTATTCATTGGCTGAGTCCTCTCCAGGAAGGAAGGCGTCTTCCTTCTTCCTGTTGGGCTCTGGCATCATCACAGCCAGTGAGAGCTTCCCCTTCTGGACTCGGAGGCTTCCATTTATTCACTTTTTACACCAGGAACAGAGGACAGAGTGGCAACTTATTGATGTCATTCTCCATCCCAGAACTCTTTGGAGTCTCCCCAGGGAAAGACTAGTCCCTCAGCCTGGCATTCAGTTCATAATACAGCATCTTATAATCTCTCTGTGGCTATCTCCTTGCCTCACATTTATCTGTCAATTCTTACAGCATATTTCCTCACCCACTGACCTCCAGTCCCTTCCCTATTTCATTTATAGACCCTAGAGGGATCTTTCCAACAGCCAGAGAGCTGACCCCAACTCTCCTGAACAAACCTATTCCCTTCTTAGCACCATGCTAGAACTGTCTATAGAGAGTTGGATTATAAAGAAAGCTGAGCACCAAAGAATTGATGCTTTTGAACTGTGGTGTTGGAGAAGACTCTTGAGAGTCCCTTGGACTGAAAGGAGATCCAACCAGTCCATCCTCAAGGAGATCAGTCCTGGGTGTTCATTGAAAGGACTGATGCTTAAGATGAAACTCCAATACTTTGGCCACCTGATGCGGAGAGCTGACTCATTTGAATAGACCCTGATGCTGGGAAAGATTGAGGGCAGGAAGAGAAGGGGACGACAGAGGATGAGATGGTTGGGTGGCATCACCAACTCAATGGACATGAGTTTAAGCAAACTCTGGGAGTTGGTGATGGACAGGGAAGCCTGGCATGCTGCAGTCCACGGGGTCGCAAAGAGTCAGACATGACTGAGCAACTGAATTGACTGACTGACGGCCTCACTGCTATCTACTCACCCACCATCTCCTCTTGGTTCATTCTTCCTTATGCCTTCCAGGCTGGTTCATACAAATGTCTTTGCAATTTGAGATCTCTTTCCTGGAGGTCATGCTGCCTGGCTTTCATCCATTTCCACCATCTCATCCTTCAAACCTGAGTTCATGGACAGATTTGGATCTTCAGTGAAGAAAGAGCTCATACTCCCCCTCCTCTAAAATTGAATTAGTTTTTAAAGGAAAAAGCACTAATGCAAAAATTTCACCAGCACCTGTGTAGTGTGAGTGCCTAACAATAAGCTTAAGCTTTTTTGAATATAAATGCCTGATGTTAAACTTTTGATGGCCCAGGCATCCATTTCAGAGACATCCAGCCCAAATAATTCATCTCGAATAAATATATTGACAGCTATGACTTTAAAGAGCCAGGTGGCCCCACCCATGAAGTTCCCTTTTAAAGATTTTTTTTTTGATGGGGACAATTTTAAAAATCTTTATTGAATTTGTTACAACATTGCTTCTGTTTTATATTTTGGTTTTTGGCCACAAAGCATGTGGGATCTTAGCTCCCTCACCAGGGATTGAACCCCCACACACCCTCCACCCTGCATTGGAAGGAGAAGCTTTAACCATTGGACCACCAGAGAAGTCCCTGAAGTTCCCAGGGAGTTTTCACCCAGCTTTAGAAAGCTCTGGGTGAACTAGATAACTGACTCTTGTGTGACCCTGTTTTTCCCTTCTTACACCCTAATTCTAGTTCCTATGTTTTAAATTCACCAATAAAAGTGAATCCACAATACCCTAGGGACCCCACCATGTACCCCAATAAAAGCAGGGCCAAGGATCCATGCACTCTCCCAACTCCTTCACCTGGCCCTTGGGTGTGCTGTGTATCCTCCAGGACTTGTGAGCAGTAAGCCTTGCTTTTTTCAATGTTTCCTTATAGTTTTTGCTGAAGTGTATCTTGCAGTCATAATAAGAACAGGGGCCAGCCCATCTACAACATTGACTCTGGTTGAGGAATCTCTTTAGGGGCTGGCACCAAGGGCTTCCCTGGTAGCTCAGGTGGTAAAGAATCTTCCTGCAATGCGGGAGACCTGGGTTCCATCAAGGCTGTATATTGTCACCCTGATTATTTAAGTTATATGCAGAGTACATCATGAGAAACACTGGGCTGGATGAAGCACAAGTTGGAATCAAGATTGCCGGGAGAAATATCAATAACCTCAGATACACAGATGACACCACCCTAATGTCAGAAAGTGAAGAACTAAAAAGCCTCTTGATGAAAGTGAAAGAAGAGAGTGAAAAAGTTGGCTTAAAGCTCAACATTCAGAAAACTAAGATCATGGCATCCAGTCCCATCACTTCATGGCAAATAGATGGGGAAACTGTGGAAACAGTGGCTGACTTTATTTTTCTGGGTTCCAAAATCACTGCAGATGGTGATTGCAGCCATGAAATTAAAAGACGCTTACTCCTTGGAAGGAAAGTTATGACCAACTTAGACAGCATATTGAAAAGCAGAGACATTACTTTGCCAACAAAGGTCTGTCTAGTCAAGGCTATGGTTTTTCTAGTGGTCATGTATGGATGTGAGAGTTGGACTATAAAGAAAGCTGAGGACAGAAAAATTGATGCTTTTGAAGTGTGATGTTGGAGGAGACTCTTGCGAGTCCCTTGGACTGCAAGGAGATCCAACCAGTCCATCCTAAAGGAGATCAGTCCTAGGTGTTCATCGGAAGCACTGATATTGAAGCTGAAACTCCAGTACTTTGGCCACCTGATGCAAAGAGCTAACTCATTGGAAAAGACCCTGATGCTGGGAAAGATTGAGGGCAGGAAGAGAAGGGGATGACAGAGGATGAGATGGTTGGATGGCATCACCGACTCAATGGACATGAGTTTGGATAGACTTCGGGAGTTGGTGATGGACAGGGAGGCCTGGCGTGCTGTGGTTCATGGGGTGGCAAAGAGTTGGACACAACTGAGCGATTGAACTGAACTGGGTTCGATCCCTGGGTTTGGAAGATCCCCTGGAGAAGGGGAAGCCTACCCACTCCAGTATTCTGGCCTGGAGAATTCCATGGACTGTATAGTCCATGGAGTAGCAAAGAGTTGGACACGACTGAGCAACTTGCACTTTCACCAAGTAGCGCGGGCCTCAGCGAATACCTCCCACAACACAGAACAATCACCTAAACATATATAAGTTATTTCCTAAACTTTATCAAGTGACTGTGAGGAAAGAAGTTAATAGTTCTAGTGTGGTGCTAAGAGCACATGGATTCCTAGAATCCATTACTGGGGCCCCAGCTACGCTCCAGGACCATGGACAGCGACAACCCTTCAGCTAGGCGCTGGGGGGCTGGCAAGGTGATTGGCGTGCCCCCTGGGGGCAAATCCTCGACTAGTCTCAAATGCAGAGGAAAGAGGGCTGGGAAATGGGACTGGTGACCTTCTGTCTCTTAGGACAGAGGTGCTGGGCAGGGGACAGCCAAGCTCCTCCTCGGTCTCCCCTGAAAACCTCCTCGTCCAGGCGGGTGGGGGACTTAGCTTCAAAGACACAATGCATTTCTCAGAGGCCAATGAGTTCCCTTCCCCTCAGACTACCCTCACCCTTTGCGGAAAATCTCGTGTCTCCTTTCTCCCCTCCCTTTCCAGTAGGTTGATATTCCGCACTTGTATTTAATCCCTTTGTCATACTGCCACGGGGCTCTGGGTGATAGAGAACATGGTTATCATCCTTTTCTATGCCTGGTGCTCTGCCAAGTCCTGAATTCAGCCTAAAGGAATGACGTCTCGGAAATCTGGTTTAATTGATAGGTCACAAAAGTAAATTCTGAGTTTTCCTTCATTCTACATGAACGGTAAATATTCAGAGTGGGGAAAGGCTCTTGGGGGCTCAGTGGACCACTGCACAGAGAATTATGAAAAGCAGAGACAGCCAGGCAAGGTCAGGAAAAAGTAGTAGGGGGGTAAGGAGAGGAAGATTCGATAGATGCTCTAAAGAGGGAAGGTTTTCTGGGACTGGAGGAATTGATAAGAGGTTAGAACTCATTCTCAAGGTGTGATCGTAGGACTTATGGGAGACCAGAGCCTCGACTGAGAGCCACCTACAAATCCAGTGGCTTTCTGAACTCAAATTGACCCCAGAAACCTGCAAACACCACATCTCATTCTGGGGCTGGAGCCAGCCCTCACTTCTCAGTTTCAGCCTCTGATTACTGTCATACTTTTCGAGCTCTGGTTCTCTCTGTCCCTCCTCGGTGCTGACCCTAATACTTGACATTTGCATCCTGGCGACCCTGGAGTCAAGGCACAAGGAGATCCTGAACCCCATGCTAGGGTCTGGTGAGGGGGTAGGACACCCAACAACTGGCAAGGGAGTGTCTCTTGTCACAATCATTCCTCACGATGGGCTGGTCTCAATGCTCTTCCTGTCTGCCCAGGATTCTGGCCCCTCCAGTCCTGCCTGCCTCGGTGGCCCCACACTCCATTCCTGTCTCCAGCTACTGAAAGTTCAACTCAGCTTAGCTTATGCTTTCTGCTTGCTTTCTCTGCCTTCTGGCCCCTCCTGCTGAGTGAGCTTCTCTTTTTTTCTGGGATCTTAGCTGCCTTGGTAGCTGTTTGATGTATTTAAATACCATGTTTGTGTGTGTGTTCCTAGTTGGTCTTAGTGGAAGTGTTTCTCTGACATGAGATATTCCATTAAGGTTGGAAACCTTGTTTGCTTTATTTGGCATTGTTTTAAAGATTTGGCAGCACCAAGTCTGACAGCACACGGAATCTTTCCTTGTGGTATGTGGGATATAGTTCTCTGACTATAGATCGAACCCAGGCCCCCTGCATTGGGAGTGCTGAGTATTATCCACTGGACTACCAGGGAAGTCCCTCATTTGCTTTATTTTGGTCTTTGCTTAAAAGTCACCTTCTCAAAGAGGTCTTGGCCTCTCAAAACTAAAATAGGACTCTTCACTCCCTTTCCCCTTATGTTGTTTTGTTTCCTATTCATAGCACCCATCATTATGACTTCATATTTCATATTTGTCTATTACCTCTCTCCCACAAGACTGTAAACTCCGAGACCACATGGTTTTAATTTTTTTTTACTTTTCTCTCCCACCAATGTCTAGATGCCCTTGCAGACATCAAGGGCTCCATAAATGTAGGAAGAACGATGTTTTGTTATCCAGTGTAAACACAGATCTGGTTTATGTCCCCAAAGTTCAGTTCAGTTAGGGAGAACAAGACCCCAAAGGGCTGAATGGCCACATGGTAAGGACAGGACCCAGCGGCTGGGGTTTGGGAGAGTCCCAATGTCCTGGGCTGGGCAGGGTGGGAGGAGAGATTCAGGGACACTTCCAGGAGGCCCCTGGAGGATGTTGAGCGGGAAGATGGGAAAGGAGGGCATTTCTAAAAAAGGAGCAGCCCAGCAAAGTTTGGAGGTGGGGCTGAGGACACCAAGACTGCCCAGAAGTCAGGCAGGCAGTTTCTGAGCCTCACGCCTGTCTGGATCGTCAGGGCGCAACCCCGAAATCGAGCGCCCCCTGGTGGCCAAACAGTGTGAACAGCCAAGCCGGACACATTTATTGAGCAAGTTATGAAACATTCTCAACAGTGCTTTGGTGGGAGGTCTTAATTCCATTTTCAGCGGAGCAAATGGAAGATCCGAGAGGTTGAGTCACTGACCCAAGCTCACCCAGCTCTGCCTCTAGAATCTGAAGTCTGGAGAGCTGCCCAGTTGCTCTTCATCCATCAGAGATTCAGGTGGTAGTGGGAATAAGGACTAATTCCACCGTCTTGAAGAGCCCCAGGAGGACCTGGGTGACAGCCCCCAGGTGGGGCTCCAGAGAGGTGACCTCGGGCCAGTTATGAGCCTCAGGCTACAGTCAATGAGATCGTGGTGCGGGTGAAAAGAGATGGCCCAGCGCCTGCAGTACACACAGCGCTCACACAGAAACACCATGAGTGCTGTAACTGACATGTCCATCCAGGCGCGTGGTTGTGCTTTTCCTACTGCAGGCAAACACGAACACCAGGCAGGCAGTAGGCGATCGAGAAGGGTGAGGGCCATCTGAGCACCCCCAGATCCCACAGAGGTACAGGCAAGCAGCCCCCTAATTCCCACTCGCTCAGGAATGGAAGGTCGTTTAGTGCTCCCCTCTCTGAGACCCAGGAGTCCCCGGCCCCCAGCCCCAGAAGCCCAGAGCCCCAGCGTTTGCAGGATCTCAGGTAATGGGTTCCGTCTCTCTCCCAGCTGCACACGAAGGCTGGGCTCAGGTAACTCGGGTTCATTCCGTGGCATTTACAGGCGGCCCCGCGCCCCCATGGCGCCGGATCCTGGCAGGGAACTGGAGTCTCTAGAAGTCGGGGCCCGACTGGGAAGTCGGCGGTCGGGACGGCTGCGGCTCCCGCGGCGGCCCCTCCTCGTCCAGCCCCCGGCGGCCCTTGCCGATGGCCAGGCGGGGCCGGCCGCGGTTCAGGCCGTCCAGGAGCGCGCAGGCCTGGCAGAGCGCGCGGCTGGCCAGCGCCCCGCAGCGGGAGCAGGCGCCGGGCGGCGGGGGCCAGCGCCAGGCGCTCGGCCGAGTGCACCAGGTCCAGCACCGCCGACGGCCGCTTCGCCTCCAGCATCTTGAGCAGGTCGCGCGCGTGGCCGCGGAAGGCCTCGGGCGCGTACACGCACTCCTCGGAGAAGTAGTCGAGGCGGCGGAAGTGCGCGTACAGCACGACCTCCTTCTGCGACGCCAGCTGCAGCGGGCGGCAGCGCAGCAGGGCGCCCCCCTCGCCCGGGGAGCCCAGGCCCCCGCCCCGAGCCAGCCGGCCCGCGTCGCCCCGCAGGAAGTTCATGAGCACCGTCTCCGCCTTGTCGTCCGCGTTGTGTCCTGGGGGAGGGGAGACGGGAGCCGTGAGGAGGGGGCCGCGGGAGGAGACCCCGGGGCACCGCGGGGCGGCCTGGGGGAGGCTGCGGGGGGACCCGGCGAGAAACGAGAGGGCGACGCACCCAGGCTCCCGTGGAGCAGCCCGGGGTGCCTCACTTACCCCCCACTTATCGCAGACCAGGCCCTCTGCTAGGTGCCCTTTCATGTATCGAGTAAAAGTGCTTTACGCAACAAATCTCAATTCAATCTCAGTGAAAAGTGTACTTCAGACTGCACAGACGTCCAAATGGCCTTTGATGGAGACTCTCAAGTGGGCTGTTGACACAAGTGCCTCTGGGAATGCAGATCATGGTGTTTAGAGGACCAGGGAGGAAGTAAGTGCGCATTTACACAACAGTCACCGTAAAATGGAAGCTAAATTTATTCTGCAACTTGTCATCTTATACTTGTGTGTGTGTGTGAAAGTCGCTCAGTCGTGTCCGACTCTTTGCGATCCCATGGACTGTAGCCCTCCAGGCGCTTCTGTGTAAGTCTATAGTAAAACAAGGGTCTTAGGGCTTCTCAATTCAGCCATACTTGCCCTCCTGAGGGCCTTTGCTGTTTCCTCTGCTCAGAATCTCTCCCAGTCCCCTTTTGGTCCTTCATGTAAGGACCCACTCAACCTTCAGGTCTCTGATTACTCAGGAAACTCTTCCTTTCTCCCTTCACTAGGTCTTTCTGCATCACTTTCCTTAGCTGCACTTATCAGGTTATAATTATGTATGTGAGAAACGGACAGGATCAGCCACTGGCTTGCACATCATCATAACAGCAAATAGTTTACTGTTTCTCAGTCTCTTGTCTGAGTGTTTAATACATAATTCATCTAAGTCCCAGTAAGTCTAGGATCTGGATAATATTAATAGCCCTGTTACATAGGAGAGGAAACCGAGGTTAGGTAGTTTGTTCTCCGCCGGTACACAGCTTGCATGTGTACAAAATAAATGGTCAATAATAATTTGTTGAAGCAATGACTGGGACAGAGAAAAAGTTATCAGAAAGAAGCTGAAAGACAAAAGGAGTTAAAAGACATAGCTTCGTTTCAGACTATAGATGGCTTATGGGCGATACCCCTCCATGCCCCTCCTTTTATGAAAAGGGACACAGAGAATGTCATAAAAAAAAAAAACAGTGCAGAAAACCACAGCCCTAGCCCCAGAGAGTACCCTTCCACCCCTCTATTTGCCAGCATGTGTGTACCAGATAGGGCTTCCCCAGTGTCTCAGCGGTAAAGCATCCACCTGCAATGCAGAAGCTGCCCGAGACGCAGGTTCTTATCCCTGAGTTGGGAAGACCCCCTGGAGGAGGGCATGGCAACCCACTCTAGTATTCTTGCCTGGAGAATCCCATGCACAAAGGAGCCTGGCTGTTGTCGGCTACAGTCCATAGGGTTGCAAAGAGTCAGAGACGACTGAAGCGACGTGGCACGCACGAATGTGTACCAGATAACGGCAGTGACTCAAAAGCGTGTCATGCCCATCCTAAGGACGTGCACATGCTATGCCTATGAACCTTTAGGGAGCATGCATATCCCCTTCTTGCTATTTAGATTCTCCAGTTAAGACATACGAAGTCTCCACTACCACTTGGGCACGCACTCCAGCGCCCTTACGGCGCCTGACCTTCTCCCACGCATGCGCCCCTCCCACCACTCCCTCTCTGGGCCGCGCCTGCGCTCACCGGTCACGACGTGCGTGGCTCCCACGAGGCGCGCCACTTCCTCCAGCGCGCGGCGCCGCACCACCCCGCAGAAGGTGCAACAGGCGCGGCTGCGGCCGGAGCCGGCCGTGCTAGGGCCACGGCGTCCATCGTCCAGCCCCCGAAGAGATCCGCGTAGGCCACGACGGTGAGCGGGAGCTCCCAGCGCGCCGCCTGCCGCCGCACTGCCGCTAGCGCCGCGTCCCGGTAGCCGCCGATGCCCTCGTCCACCGCCACGAGGTGTAGAGAGATGCCCAAGCTCGGGGCCAGCTCGCGCAGCACGTGCGCCAGCACCGTGGAGTCCTTGCCGCCCGAAGCGCCTACGGCCACCACGGCGACGGGCGGCAGCAGGCGGCCCGCGACCACCGTGTGCAGCACCTCGGCCTCCAAGGCGGCGCAGAAGCAGGCGCCGCACAGCGCCTGGCCCGAGCGCGGACGGCGGAGGGCGGCGCGCGCCTTGTGGCAAGAGGCGCACTGCGGGGCGGGCATCGTGGGGTCCTGGAGAGGCGGGAGGGTCGGCTTCTCCTGGATGGGAGGAGAGAGGAGGCAGGTTACACGTGGATTCCGGGTTGCGGGGGTCATTGCTTGCCTACCGGGAGGCTGCCTGGATAGTGCCCAGAGTAAAACCATTGTAACACTCTTTCCTGCAGCACTGTGCAGGCCTGGCATCTTCAAGTCTCAGCTTAACCTTTCAATCACTCATTCATTCTTTCATTCAGCAAATATCCACTCAGTGCCTTCAAGGTGCCCAACGTTCTCTAGTAATTGGGGACACAGCAATGAGCAAAACAGGAAAGGTTGCAGACACTAAATTCTAGTGGAAGAGCTGACTCAAGATACTTTCCAGATATGAGAATAATATGAGGGAATTACCCTCTAAGCTGAGGTCAGAAGGAGGAGTCAGGCATTTGATCAGTGGGAAGGATTTTCCTGATAAGAGTTAACAACAAATGCAAAGGACAGGTCCTGTTCGTGTTCAAGTTTGTTGTGGTTAAAGGCGGGAAAGGTTCCAGGGGCTTGGAGGTTGGCAGGGCAAGGAGCTTGGACTTTATGCTGAGAGAAACAGGAACGGCTGGACGATTTTAAGCTCTAGTGACAGAATCTAATTTTTATTTTAACAGGATCCCTTGGACTGCATGTGAATGAATACAGAGTGGAGCCTGGAAAGGGCCGACATGGGCAGACCAGTGAGGAGGTTCCTGCAGTGATCCAGGTAAGCAACACTGGTAGCTCGGAGCAGAGTGGAAACAGTGGGATTGGAGAGAAGTGGTCAGATTCTGGATCTGTTTTGGAAACAGGGCAGATAGGACTTTTACAAGCCTCAGGGGAGGGCAGTGCGTGAAAGATACAGGACTCAGGACAACCTCAAGTTTTGTTTTGACTTGAGCACTTGGAAGGTAGTGGGACCATTTAGTAGAGAGGAGGTAGGGGTTGGGGAAGAATGGGGAAATACTGTGAGAGGGGTGAGTTTGGGCGTCGTAGATTTGAGGTTCTTTGCTCTGGAAGTCTTTTCAGAACCCTGAGCTGGGTGTGCCGCTTCCTCCAGGCTTCCACGGCCACCTAATTCCCTCTTTTCCCCCCCGCCCAGGCCAGCCCTGACCACTCTAGGTTGTAATCAGGACAGAAGAGGGTGCGCTCGCACCGCACCAAGCTTGGGGCGGGGGTGGGGTGGGGTGGAAACGAGTCAGACCCGGCCGGCAGAGTTCAAATCAGGAACGCCAGCTGTTTAGGGCACTCCTGCCTGGAGGGCCGTCAGGAGACTGCCTTTGGGGGTTTATGGAGGGGAGTGCTGTCTCACCAGGAATGCCTACCGAGTGTGTGGGAGAGATACAGAGATACAAAGACTCCTCCACTGCAGCGCTACAAAGGGCCGGGATCGGCCGGGAGGAGGCACTCACCTGAATAGAACCCAGGCGGGAAGGTCCAGGCTCCGAGAAAGCGCGGAAGCAAATAGAACTACGACTTCCAGAAGGCTTTGGGTCTACCCGCCGATATCTCCCAGGTACCCATGCGGCGGTTGAGTCGGTGGTGCTTACTGCCCTCGGACGAGCTGGGCCTACAACTCCCGGCGGTCCTCGCGGCGACGTCTCTAGCTCCGCCCACAGCTCCCAGAGTGCTCCATGCTTCCGGGCCAGAGGGAGCCCTTCTTGCGCCTGCGTACGGGCGGGTACGCCTGTGGGTTTTGTGGTTTTTGCGCTTCAGGGCGCTGCGCGCCGTGTGTGGTTTATTCCAAAGGTGGATGCTTTTCAGGTTTTGTGCTCTTGTGGGAGCATGGTGGAATTTGTGGTGGGGGTGGAGAGGCGTCGGAGTTGGGAATGATGGGGATGGGGTGCGAAAGGGAGAGGTAGCGAGTGCGCCGTACCGATACCAAGGTTCTGGCTTGCAGTTTGGGTTCTTGCGCGCGCCCCAGCAGACGTGGGAGTGAGGGTGCGCCCCGGCCCAGGCCGCCGCGGTGCGCACCGGCGGTGTTAACGCTTATGCGGAGCAGAAATATAGCGGTTTGCGGTTCTTACACGCGTGCACCGGGCTCAAGTCAGGAATGCGGTGAGCAGTTCCGCGCACGCCTGGTGAGAGCCGAGCTCCGGATGGAGGGCAGGTGAGACGGAAGGTCCTCGAATCAAAAGCCGGAGCACGTTCCCAAGAATCACCCGGAGCCCTGCACCCAAGGTCCAGGCCCTCAGCCTCTTTCCAGCCCCCAAACTGCCCCTTTCTTGCCTGTTATAGTCTGACATCCTCATATCTCTACCCCTGTGAGACCCTTGAGACGGTGGGGATGGGGGACGTTTGAGTGTCTGAACCTATTAGCTGAAGCGTGGTCATCGGGTTCATTCGTCAGTCATTTCCTAGGGCTTTCTGCATGCCAGGTCCTATCCTCTGGGCGTACCAGGCCTGCCTGGAGAGATAAGGATGGCAAAGCTTGATGAGGAGGCAGATGACCGGGGCTACAGGGGTCCAGAGGTGACAGGTGCTGCTAACCAGGGTATGGGGTGGGGGTAAGGGAGCGGCACTGGACTTAGTAAGGAATCAGCAGTGTGCCAGACACCCATCCCCTGCACTTCCCTACCACCATCTCAAGTTCCTGGTCAGTAAAATGGGGATGATAATAGTGGTACGTGCGTCACAGTGTGTGTGAAAATAAATGAGTTAGTAGGGAAGTGTTTACTGGGGAAAAAAAAAACCACTTTTTTTTGTTTTTTTCTTCCACTTCTCATAACTGGGCATGGCTCCCATTTCTGGAACATGTCTAAAATTTCTTTTAAAGGAAGTCTTGAGTTGGGCATTTCAAAACCTCAGACAATCTACAGAGAGTCTACGGCAGTTCTCAGTTGAGGGTGAGTTTATCCCCAAGAGAACATTTGGTGATGTCTGGAGACATTTTTAATTGTTGCAACTGTGATGCAAGGGGCAGAGTGTGGCCGGTGCCTGGCAGGAAGAGGCCAGAGTTGCCGGTAAACACATGCTGCACAGGATGGCCTCCACAGCGCAGAATCATCCGGCCCTACCTAACAGTAATGCCGAGGCCAAGGGGCCCTGGCTTAAGTGGTATTCTGCTGTGCTTTGGTTTTCAACCCCCAAAGCAGGATGCACATTCAGGTGTTCCTGTGTTGATTTTAGTCTCTGGCTTTGAAAGTTTCTTTAAGTATTTTGGTGGCTCTCCACACCACTCATATACTTTTGAGTAAGAAGTTAGTTAAAAACAAAGTTTGTCTTAAGTGCTCGGGCCTGGTGCACTGGGAAGACCCAGAGGGATCGGATGGAGAGGGAGGTGGGAGGGGGGACCAGGATGGGGAATACATGTAAGTCCATGGCTAATTCATGTCAATGTATGACAAAAACTACTGCAATGTTGTAAAGTAATTAGCCTCCAACTAATAAAAATAAATGGAAAAAAAAAAAACCAAAGTTTGTCTTAAACTGGGTGCCAGTGAAAAAAAGAAATGGATGTGAAAGCTGGCCTGCCAGGGTGACTCCATGTGCCCCTTGCTTAGTTTGTGTGACCTTGAGTGAGTGACTTGACCTTTATGGGCTTCCTGTATTCAGTGGGGATGATAAAATAGCAGCTGTTGGAGGAACTAGATGATTTCATAGTTTCAGAGCACCCTGAACCATGCCTGGTGCTTCATTAAGTGCTATGAAAAGAGCAGAGGGCAGTGTCTGTTCCGGGGCCGCAGTTCATTATTCATTAACTTTGTTTCTGAAGGGGAAGACTGAGTTGGTGTCAGGGGGCTTCTGGAGAGTGGCTGCAGCTTCTCATCGTTGCAGCGTAAAGATTGAGTCCCTCAGCTTGGTGTTAGTGACCTGGCCCCTGATGACTTCTCAGCCTCACCTCTCACCCTGCATCTCTGGCGGGCCCCCGTGTTTTCCGGAGGAAGAACTTTTTCTGCCAGGTGTCTACACACGCTGTCTCTTCTTCTGAAAACTCTCTGTCCTGCACCCCTCCTCCCCCAACACCCTGATTCCTCTTTCTCATCCAGATGGCCATGTGGGTGTACTTCCCCCAGGAAGCTCACGGGACCCTTCCTCCCCTGCCCTGGTTTAACAAGCCACCTCTGGGCTCCCATGGCCCTTGGTCCCTTGCTTTGTCAGAGACCCTGTCCCCTTGGGTTGTGGCTGTCTCCGTTTCACTGTCCCTTTGGGTTGGCTGCTTTCTGAGAGAAGGGTTTGGTTGGGTTTGCATCTGGGTCTGTAGCGTCGCCGTGCAGAAGGCAAGGTATTCATAGCCCGTCCTGAGCTGCTCCTGGCCTGCCTCTCCTTCCTTGCCTCCTCCTTTTATCTGCACCCCAGGGAACATTGGTCTCAGGCAGGAAATTGCTGCCTTGGAACGTGGTGGTTAAGGACGGAGGCAGCCTGGTTCAGATGCTGGGATCTGGTTGTGTGAATGTGGCTAGGTTACATTTCCTCACCTGTAGGGGATGAAATAGTCCAGCCTTCATAGGAGTAGAGCAGTGGTTCTCAATTTGGGATGATTTTGACCCACAACTGGGGTTGGAGTAGTGGCATCCAGTAGGCAGAGACCAGCAGTGTTACTAAATCTCTGACACACAGGTCAGCCTCAATGGCAAAGAACTAGCTTACCCAAAATGTCAGTAGTGCTAAGATTGAGAAGAGGTACATGCTGAGTGCTTAGAACAGCTCTGCAGCCACAGAAAGCACTCGAGATAATTAGCTACCATTACCATGGTGGCGCTAGTGGTAAAGAACCTGCCTGCCAATGCAGGAGACACAAGAGATTTGGGTTCGATCCCTGGGTCAGGAAGATCCCCCAGAGGGGAGGGCATAGCAACCCACTCCAGTATTCCAGCCTGGAGAATCCCATGGACAGAGGAGGCTACAGTTCATAGGGTTGCAAAGAGTCGGATAGGACTGAAGTGACTCAGTATGCTCTGTGACTGCATACACCAAGCTCCCTGTTGCCTCCACCTCTCTGCCCAGAATACCCTTTCCCCACTTTTGATTGGGGCTTAGATGCCTACTTTGGAGAAGGAAATGGCAACCCACTTCAGTACCCTTGCCTGGAAAATCCCATGGATGGAGAAGCTTGGTAGGCTACACTCCATGGGGTCGCAAAGAGTCGGACACGACTGAACGATTTCACTGTAGATGCCTACTTATCCTTCAAGACTTACCCAGATGTTACCTCTTTGGGGAAGCCTTCCCTGACCTCTACCCCCGTTGTCCCCGCAATACACACCTTCAGTCGGGCAGTGTCTCGAGTAACGCATACAAACCTGGACTCAAACTCATGCTCTCTTTTCACACCTGAATAACTTTGAGCCTCAGTATCCCTTTCTATGAAACCAAAGGATGGCTTTGAGGATGAAATGGACCAGCACCAGGCAAGTGTGTGACTAATGTCAGGACTCCCATTGTGAAATACAGAGTCAATAAAACCTAAAGGCTTAGTGGTGGTTTGGATTGAGGGAAATTGTTAAGAAATAATATGCTTTTTAAGTATGTTTTACTGCAGAAAAAATAGGAACAAGCAAAATTATCTGTAGCACAGGGAAAGTTAAGAAAAAAGATGTTATATGCTATGTTCACGAGACCCACTTATAATGAACAAAGACTCAGAAAATGAAAGCAAAAGACGGGAAAGATACACTAGGGATTTAACTCAAGAAACCTTTTAGCCACGTGAGCCACCAAACATTTTGAGTCAAAGAGCACTCAGTAATAAATGTCATCACAAATGAAAGAGAAATAACCAGGATGATGAAACAGTTCTAAACTCAGGTGCACCTAACAACATAATCCCAAAAGAAAACTAAAGTTAACAGGAGGACCAGAAGAAATTGACACATTTCAGAAGAACCGTGAGTGACATTTTACTGCATCTCTCATTAATTAATTGACAGCATTAAAGCTATGGAAAAATTGAACATGACCACTCACAAGCTTGCACTCAGTGACTGAAATGGAACCCAATGATGTGAGAATATAGGTTTTTGCCAGGCACGTGTAGATTATGTACAGATGTCCGAGGTGTGGCTGTTCAGAATGGTACCCACCAGCCACGTGGCTAGTGAGCACCTGAACTGTGGATAGTCTGAATTGAGCTGTGCTGTAAAGGTAAAAATATATCAGATTAGAATACTTAGAGACCCACAAGTGAGTCTCAGCAAATAGCAAAGTCACTCTACTCCCAAGGACAAAGGACCTTGACCAAGAAGCTTAATATGTGTACTTCTGATCTAATAAATGAATTTTTCCCATTAGCCTCTATTTTATGATGTAGGAGGGCTTCCCTTGTGGCTCAGCTGGTGAAGAAGCCACCTACAACTCGGGAGACCTGGGTTTCATTCCTGGGTTGGGAAGATCCCCAGGACAAGGGAACAGCTACCCACTCCCGTATTCTGGCCTGGAGAATTCCATGGACTGTATAGTCTATGGGGTTGCAAAGAGTCAGACACAGCTGAGCAACTTTCACTTTGTGATTTAGGAAATGGCTAAAACAGCTCTTCATAAATCTTGAAACTAAGACATAAGAAGTCTGAGTTGTCTGTACGTGTGGGTATCAGTTCAGTTGCTCAGTCGTCTCCGACTCTGTGACCCCATGAACCACAGCACACCAGGCCTCCCTGTCCATCACCAACTCCCAAAGTCCACCCAAACCCATGTCCATTGAGTCGGTGATGCCATCCAACCATCTCATCCTCTGTCGTCCCTTTCCCCTCCTGCCCTCAATCTTTCCCAGCATCAGGGTCTTTTCAGATGAGTCAGCTCATCTCATCAGGTGGCCAAAGTACTGGAGTTTCAGCTTCACCATTAGTCCTTCCAATGAATACCCAGGGCTGATCTCCTTTAGGATGGACTGGTTGGATCTCCTCGCAGTCCAAGGGACTCGCAAGAGTCTCCTCCAACACCACACTTCAAAAGCATCAATTTTTCTGTCCTCAGCTTTCTTTATAGTCCAACTCTCACATCCATACATGACCACTGGAAAAACCATAGCCTTGACTAGACGGACCTTTGTTGACAAAGTAATGTCTCTGCTTTTCAATATGCTGTCTAAGTTGGTCATAACTTTCCTTCCAAGGAGTAAGCGTCTTTTAATTTCATGGCTGCAATCACCATCTGCTGTGATTTTGGAGCCCCGAAAAATAAAGTCAGCCACTGTTTCCACAGTTTCCCCATCTATTTGCCATGAAGTGATGGGATTGGATGCCATGATCTTAGTTTTCTGAATGTTGAGCTTTAAGCCAACTTTTTCACTCTCCTCTTTCACTTTAATCAAAAGGCCCTTTAGGTATAGGCATATATTATAGTCATCTTAAAACACTTTTGTTTGGGAGACTCCCAAATCATTTTGAAAAGCTTTGTACCACTACCTCACTCATTTTAAGTCAACACCTGAAATTTTTCAACGTGAAGACATTTATGTTATTCACTGGTAGAAACTGTATAAGGTGACATGAGGGTAGGCTGTTCATGGAATAATTATTTCATTACATGACTCAGATAGGTTTTAATTATCTTAATGAAGAATGTGCACCAATTCTAACCAGTTACCTGAATATTATATTCAGTGTAACTTGAGAATTTTGTCCTTGGAAACATTCCAGTTAATTTTCTTTTAATTAGCTTCACTAAATTGAAATGCTTTTGGTTCTGAAAACAGAACATCCCAACATGAGCCAAGCTTCGCCTTCACCAAGAGGAATAGAACACCTCACCATGCAGAGAGTTTTGTGTACACACCCCACTTGGAAGACCTCTGCCTTGTTAGATAGAACAGCTTCTGTATCCTCAAAGACATTTCTTACCTCCTTGGAAGTCAGGAAGTTTAGGAATGGCCTTAGAACAAAAAGCACAATCTGATTTTGGGCATGGACTTCTGAGCCTAACAAATGTAGCCAGAAAGATATTCTCCTGGGAATTTCCTGGAGGTCAGTGGGTAGGTCTCCGAACTTCCACTACAAGGGTTGAAGATTCAACCCCTGGGTGGGGAACTAAGATCCCACATATATATATAAAATTTTTTCCTGATTTAAAAAAAAATGGGTTTTCATCCTTAAGATACACTAATAGTTCTAATGTGAGATTTTCTTTGGAAAGGGGAGTTTCTCAATGGTCTGCTTTCCACACATTCCCTCTTGGCTAATACAACATTATTATTAGAGCAAGCTGTACTATGTCACTCGTGAAACATGGGTATATACTCCTAATTTGAAGCATGTAAAGT